CTCCTGTAAAACTCAGCAAGGGGTAAGATGGTTTAATTAGGTAACCTTGTGTTAGAGCAGTAAGCGAATGGTATGGGGTGCACCAGAAAGCTGCCCTAGGCAAGTATATACACTACTGCTGTGGGGACTGAACAACATGGAAGGTTTTGGATTGCTCCTCCCAAATGCAAGCTCTGCTACTCAGGGCTCACTTCTGTATACCTGAACTGAATGAAGGGTTTTGGTTGGGGGTTTTTTTTGGTGTGGGCTTTGAGGTTTTTTGGGGGTTTTTTTGAGTTTTGTTTGTTTTGGATTTTGTGTTGTTGATGTAGGTTTTTTTCTTCTCTGTTGTTCTGTGTGCATTTTTTTTTCCCAGTAGATGGAAACAAGGAAGGAGAGGGAGGAAAGAAATACTATACAGAGGAAGGTTTTTTTGACTGCAGTCCTCATGTACCAAAGTGTGTCAGTTACTGTTAAGCTATGAACTGCAACTGAAACTCTGTAATGATAAAATGCGGTCTGTGTCACATTCAAAGCAGCCCTGGGAAGGCTGGTGTGTTGCTGGCTTACTCGATGGTGGTCTGCCCATGTTTCCTAAGCCCTGGAAAAATAGGGAAAATCACGTAGCAAATGTTTCTGGAAAATCTTGTCTGAGAAGCACAAAAAATAAAGCAGAATGAATCACTGATTTATAGTCTTGGAAATACTTCTAATATTATTAATGCTTTCTCTGGCTAAGTTCTTTGCTATCACATGCAAAGAGCAGCTGTGTGTAAACTGAGGGAGGAATCCTCCATGCTAGCCTCTAAGCCTTTTGCCTGCTGTAGAGAAAGCTTCATCTTCAGACATCCTCTTTCTGATGTTTACTTTTTAAACCTTATTTCTTCTTCATTCGGTACTAGCCTAGTAGTTGCATTTCAGTTTGCACATTTAGGCAACAATAAATACCATAACCTTTCCAAGTGGCAAGCAAGCTTCCAAACAACTAGTTTCTACACCTCTTGTCACTACGAAAACAGTAAAATATAATCTTAATATTTTTTTCTGTTTAAAATCCAAACTACTCCTGGTCATAATCCATCTCTTTTTTCTGTTGTTTTTTTTTTTTTTGTATCTTCCAGGAGACTGTAATAGAAAAGCATTGTGTTCATCTTACCGTGTTATGGCGTGTTAACCTTTGCATGGTTCATTGGGTTTACTACCTTAATTAGCAATTAGTGTATGAAGTTATTTTGCTTACCCTCAGTATGATGTGGTCCTCCCTGACTGCCCAGCACTGCCAGGTTACAGGGCTCTTGCCATTCTCTTCCTCACAGAAAGCTGTGCAACACGGGATCAGGGAGGACAGGCTTGTGACCATGCCTTGAGCTGCACTGTCCCCTTTCCTTTAACAGGTCTAACAGGCTCCCTTCTCCTCCTTCAAGAAACTAGTCTTAAACACCTCCCCACTGTGTGACTAAACTAGGAGCATGACCTCTTCTGGTTGGTTCTGTTTGGCATCTTCCACATGGCCTTTGGGCAGTTACACTGAATGGTTTCTGCAGGGACACTTTTCAAGCTGTCCTCGCCTGAATGAAGAACAAGCTGCAGCAGTTGCTAACAAGGTTCTTCAGAGTATACTGGTAATGGTATTATTTATGAGGTAATACATGAAGCCATAAACTTTACTGTGGCATGTTATTATAGACTGTGAGAACCACTAGATTAAAATACAAACTCAGTGTAATTTCTGTGGTTCTGCCTTTCCCCATCAGAGAGCAGGTGGGAACACACAGCTGTGACAAGGCAAAGTGGCATTAACTGCTACGGAACGTTCCATTAATGGTTTTGTTCCCCAGCATCATATGCAAATTCAGTGTGCTTCCTGATAGTATCATTAATGCATTTGTGTAAAGTATAGCTCCTTTACACCACTATTCTAAAAACTACTACTGTCCCTCAGGTTTCAGTTTTAAGAGCTACACATTCAGCTTGAAGATGAGCTCATTTGTTAAGTTTTTATCTACTTGGAAGTGTTTCAATCTTAGCTGTGGCACTTCACTTGCACTGCAGCCATGCCAGATGAGATTGAAGCAGGACCTACCCAATGAAATGGGATAATGAAAAAAAAAATTAGAAGTATTTTAAAATGGAGCAAACTGACACCTCCCAGAAGCTGACTAGTTTGAAAGTCAACATAACAGCAACCCAGTGAAGTGGAAGGCATATAGCACTGCCTATGTGGTCAGGCTTTGCTTCATATGCAGGAGACAGGCTCTTAATTGCAAAAGGTGAGGTTCTTATCTAATCATTCTAGTTAATGTTTAAGTATAGTTGGAAAGGAGACAGAGAAAGCAATTTTCAGGTCCTGACAGAGGTGGAGAGCTCTATCCTTGAGCCTTTTTTCAGGAAGGAGGTGCATGCCTGTGCTTTTGGACAAGGAATTGAAAGTGAAGCTTCTCCCCACCAGGTGAGTGCTAAAAAGAAAGTGCTTTTAGGAGATGCCCCTTCCAGCTGTGGGCTGCCAACAGGCAGCTTTTTATGGGTCTCGGCTCTAAGAACACCACATTTGGCTGTAGGTGTGTGTGGGGGGGGGCTTAAATAGTCATTGCTCAACGTACTGACTCCCGAAATAATTTTCAAGCACCACTCCCATGCAATTGTATTAGGAACTGGAACTACAACAGGCAATGCTGGGATATGGGAGCCCTTTGAGAATAGTTTTCGACATGCCCAGAGTTCCTTTTTCCTAAGAATACTTCACCTTGTAATAGGAATGTGCAGTTTGAGATGGGTCAGACTTTTAAATATTTTTTGAAGTATTTTTCTTATGCTGTTGTTCTAAAAATCAGCACTCAGGTGCCTGCACAACCTCTGTCAATGCAGTCACATCAAGCTGTTGGCTCTGGCTTGACAGCAAGTGACAAACAGCACACCTATATATAACAGGGCAGGAGCTTAGCATATTTGGAGTCCTGCATTTCCTTGCTACTGCTGCGTCCATGAATATCACTGCTTATACAGTTTTCTCTGCTAAGTCTAGTTTTGCTAACCTGAAGTGAGGCTCACCACAACTAGTTTAATGTCTCTCTAATGCTTGCATTAAACTGACTTTGTAGCTACTTGATCCCTGCAGTGAAGTCCTGTATTGTATCTCAATCCCAGGGGATTACATGTGGGCTCTCTTGTTTTAAACTGCGGCAGCATTGATAATTTCAGCTACACGAGTTTTGTTCCAAACATGAGACACCCCATAAGTTTCCTGCTAAGGCAGGGTGAGCTACTTTGTATTTCATTACATGCATCAGGCATCCCCTCAAAGATTACAATCCACCTTGGGCTACAGTCAAGGGCAAGCTGTGCTACCACCGTTTGAACTGAAGCAGCAGAGGTTGTAACAAGTACTCTTAGCTTGTATCATCCCATTCAGACCACTGAGAAGGGGCAGCACACATACTCTGCACTTACCACAAGAGGTAAAGTTTTGTATCAAACTAAATGTTTATATCCTGGCCTAGGGAGTAAAGTCAAGGCACTTCAAGTGAGAGCATGCATCTTTTTCTGAAGATTTTTGTTTTGAAATCAAGACCTTGCTGGTGGAAGGTTATGGAGACTTGATACCTTTTCATCTTGACATTACCCTGATTGGCCTCTTCAGTTTCTGTACCTTAGGTATGTGCTTGAAGAAAACATAGCACAGCCTGTCACCCTCCATCTTTTTACATTAAAAGTTTGCCTTAATTCTACTGAAATTATTCCTGTTCTTACAAAGGAAAAACATAACAGCCTACTAACATTATTTTAAAGGCCCTACTATTTTCAGTTGTTCCAGTTTGGGATGGGTGGAGAGTAGAAATCACAATGCTACAGCAAGCTTAGAAACAAGCAAGGTTCAGACAGAAGTGGCACACAACAGTACTGCTTGGTGACAAATACATGCAGCTCTTGAACCTGCAGAACAGGAACCACAGCACGATTCAAAGTGAGAGAGGAACAGAAGCTACTTGTCACAATGCACATGACATCAGTCACCTTGCAGCTGGACCCAACAGCCTCCACCAGAGCAAATCATGCATTTGTGTGTCCTCAACCTCCCCTGTAACACCCACAGAAAGCGCTTCAGAAGCAGGAGCACCCACCACTGTGCCATGTGCACACCCACACAGAGTAAAGCACACCACTTCTCACCCCTTATGAAAAGAAACTCATGTGTGTGCTCTGGCTGGTAAGTTTTACCTTTTTCCACCTTACCAGAACACATCTTTGGTAAACTTACATTTGAATGCAGTTTTCCAATAGGATGTAGCAACTTATGTTCACCAGGTAGGGGAGGAAGGCTTTTATTTTTTCTGTTTCTCCCTATATCAGTTTTAAGTGTCACTTGCTCAAATTACGTTCTTTTTCTCCCTCTGCTAGTTGGCCCTGGAAAAAAAAAAACATAACCAAACCAACCAACCAAACCAAAGATGGCTTTAGTTTGTTCAGTTACAGTTGTCTTATTCATATCCTTCAGCAACTAAATAAGTTTTTACTAGTTTACTTCCAACTTCATCTATTTCTGCAGAAAAATGCTTCTTTCTGAAGACACGTAGGCTTATAGAAGCATGTGGAGTGGAGTCAAAGGAAGTGGCCTGTAGCAGTGCTTGGGCTTGCTGTGCCAACATCATTACGACAGGAAACTATGGATAGAATATGTACTGCAACTGGGGCTTTGTTCAGGGCAAATAAAAGTAATACAATAGTGCAAAAACTGCTTCTGAGAAAGCAAGCCACATCTGTGCTCACTAATGGCCCTAGATATTCCTTCAACCTTTCCACTGCCTCAGCTGTGTGTGCAGAATGTGTTCCTTACATTACAGGCTCTTTGCTAGAACAGTTGTAACAATACTAAAATTCCATATTGAGAGTGACACGGTTCTGGAGGAGTTAAGAAAAAGTGACAAATGCCTTTATATTTACAGAAACACACAAAAATAATCAAGCTAAAAAACAGAAGCTTCAAACATAAAAGAACAGACTGACTTCTTGTTTAATTTTTTTGATTTTTTTATTTGGGAAAAGTGCTTCTTACAAAAGGCAGCTGCAAAACAATACGTTATAGACCTCAGAACAATTTCTCATTCCATTTAAAAGTGAAAGGAGAGGCAGTCTAGGGGACAAGAGCAGCAGGAGAACAGATCACGGGGCATCCACAAGTCAATAAAAAACAGCAATAATGTAATGCAAGGTTAAAATTCCTGTGCCGGGGCTTTGGTGGCAAAGTAATTACTCAATGCAAATTACAGCCAGAAACTGCATGACTGCCTTTGTAAGCAGTAAGTCACATAAACTGAACAGCTTTACCAGGCAACCTGCCTCACTCAGCTGCAGAGAGCACATGAACCTCAGAGCAGCTGAGAAGAACAGTGATTTCCTAACAAAGCTCACGGCTTAAGTGTTTACATGAAGTTCTAAAACTTACAGAGCGATAAAGCTAAAGGGTCCTCTCTGGTGTTCCTCTGACCCCACCTTGGCTAACCGGATTTCACATGAAATAAGAGCTGGTGTATTAGGAAGTGCTGTTTATCAAGTTAAGCGCTAGTTAAGATCGTTGCCACAGACTGGGCTGAGACCACTAAAGCAGTTTCATGTCCAGTTGGAGGCTAGATTTCATGCACCAAGAGGGGATGAAAGATGGTTTTGTTATTTTTAACTTACAGAGTCTCCCCATCCTTGAGGTCCAACTCCACATTTATCGGTATATACACATAGAGAGTTCTCCTTTCACAAAGACATTTTCCTTTCATGCTAAACACAGTAAAAACCCAGAACGTTCACACCTGGTTCTGGTTACACAGTAGTAATAGTAATGTGCAAGTAAACAGAGACCAAAATCACAAATGAAGACGTGTACATGAGGGGGCTGGAACAGAGCTGATGCCAGAAAGTATTTGTATCTGGCCTGAAATCAGAAGTAATGGTACAAAGACAGAATAAGGGCCATCAGCCATTTTACATCCCCACTGCATGGCCACTGCTCATTTTTGTATCTGGGCTCTTCAAAATGAGTGTGGAAGTCCTGTAAACACTTTAACCCTGGAACTGGGTGAACTCTGTTGGGTACACAGATGAAGCAACAAACCTAAGCTAACTGTTTGACAGTTAAATTTATTTTTACAAAAACTAACATTTTAAAGATTTATTTCTTGTTATTGTTTAAACAGAGGAAAAACAACACTCCTGGGGTGGGAGAGGAGGGGATGGGAAGAGACAGACCCTGGGTAAAAGTTATTACAACAGCACCTGGAATTGATCGGCCTGCCTAGGAGAAACACAGGCACTGCCACAACACCACAGGTAAGAGCTACTGCCTGAAGCCAAGACAACAGTCCACACTCCACTGACAGGTGCTATAGATCCAAGTCATAATAATCTTCCAGCTCATCATGAAATAAGTCCCACTCGTCCTCGGAATCCGTTAGCTCATCGGCACCTCCTGCTGCCAACAGCATAAGCAACATCTCACCAAGCTCAAAGGTCACCACCTCATCCTCATCGGTTTCAAATGGATCACCATTCTCCCGCTCCTCGATGAACTCCCAGAACCGATTCCTCCGCTGGGCCTGCAAGCGGAACACAAGCATTTCCCTGGGTGACCATGTGGTACAAAGTAGGAGCCTTTCCAGAGGCTGGCAACATTCAGCCCCTGGTGTACTTTTTGACAGGCAAGAAATCACAATTCTCATTCAGGGAGATACTGACCTCCAGTAGAATTTACCCTTACACACCCCTATTAATGCTACTCAACATTTCTACTTCAATATACTGTAAGAAAGTTTTTCAAATTTAGTCTTTCCATCTTGGCCTCCAGCATTCACAAACTTCACAGCACTGATTCCTTCAAATTCACCATTACAGAGGTCTATCGGAAGTAGGGGGGGGGTGGGAAGGAAAAAGTCAACATCTCCCTGTCCTCTTCTCAAGGCAGAAGACATAATGCACCCCCCTCTTGTGCTCTCTGTATGGAAAGGACAAACAAACAGCGGCACTGACCCGGTATCTACTCGATGTTCCCACTTTGGGTCTCTGTGGCTCCTCTTGGCGGCCATCAGGATATTCGTGCTTGTAAAAACAGTTCCCTCCAAATGGACAGCTTCCACGGCCTTCATCAAAGTACCTGCATGGCTTGTTGCTGGAAAGGAAAATATCGCAACCCTTACTGAGGGCAGACCCCAATCAGGACTTCAGAACTGCATTTACCTGTAGGTCCGCAAGGATCTCAGGTACCAGGAGCTGAAGGTATTTTGTCAGTGTAAGACTAACACGCAGAAGTGATGTATTACACAACGATGTGATGTATTACGTTTGGGCCAATGCATGCAGAGGGACGCTGATGGTTTGCAGTGCACGAGCTTGTACTGCCTTATGGCTACACCACCAGCATTTCGTGTATAGAAGGGAAAGACTGAGGTCAAAGAACACGGGAATAGCTGTGGGACTGTGTGGTTGCATGGATCTGTGGGCAGATAAGCAAAGATGCACTTCACACAAGGCAGTGGAAAGGAGGTGTGAGGGGGGCTTTACATCAACACCCTTCTCCATGTGTGCCTTTATCTCTGCAGTCTCAACTCGACAAAAGGCTGCATTGCTCATACCTCATTGCCTCCTTGTATTTCTGAATGAGTTTCTGCTTCTCTTCCTTCTCCTCCACCCAGTACTCACTTGGAATGACAAAGTTAGATGTGATCCGACATTCTGGGCAGGACCTGGGAAATGAACAGACTGTGCTGCAAAATTCCACATTACAGGGCGCTCTCCCTCCTATATAACAAGTCATGGCACATATCCATCTTTAAAGAGGTATTGCACTTGTATACTTGCTGTACGACCTTTTCAATCTACCTTCTCTTACATGAGAATAACCTAAACTCTCTTCAAGAACTCAACGGCAATGGCAGCTTGTCTCAGAAAAGCTTGAAAAAACACTTCACACGGACTCCTTTTTCTTTAGAATTAAATAAATTTATTTTGGTATGATTCCTGTATTTATTTGATTGGAAGTCTGTACTTTTTAGAACAGCCTTAGATGGAGTAATGTTTTGTCAACTAAGTAATGCTCCAGAGCAGTAATGAATTAAGTAGCATACATTCTGAACTGGTTAATCTGGTTCTAGATTCTTGTCTGAGTGTCCAAGACATAAACAGTAACCACTGGACAACATGGTACTAAATAAACAGTTATTTTCTACCATTGAGTTTAGCAAACTTAAAATGTATTAACCAAATCAGAGTGTAAATGTTATCCTCAACAATTATTTCACTTCCAAACTAAGTTAGTATGCATTAAATGCAGTCTCTGTGCAGTCTGCATCTGGAAGTCTGTTGCAAGTTGTCACAAGTTACTAAGTTCTTCCATAGTAACAAAGCACTATCGAAATGGGAAAGTGCCTCACTTTATAATCTTGCTCTCAAATTGCTTAGCACTCCTCCACTTGCGGATGCACTTGAGACAGTAAGTGTGGCTGCAGTTGGAGAGGATCCCAAAGCGGCGCTCACTAGGATTAGCTTTCTCATACACCACCTCCATGCATATCCCGCACACCATGTCTTTACTACGCTGGACGGCAAAGGAAAGCTCCATGTCCTTCTCGTGAGCTTCAATGCAAGACTGAAAAGGAGAGACAAAGAAAACGACTACAGAGACAACTGGTCACCTGGTGAGGTCTAAGCAGGTTTTTAAACTCAGTTTTGCTCTGCTGTTTTCCATACTGAATGGAGTATGATTAAACTGAAAAAATCTTTATCCTCAAAATAAAATTTGCTCAGACGGGGAACAATCAGTTCAGAGTTCAAATTCCTTTTTCAGACTTTCCTTGTAAACATGAAAAGGCAATCTAAAAGACCATCCGGTTTTACTAGGCAAAGAAAAAAAGCTTTAGGATCTTTAAGCAGACTGCTCTCCCAGCACAGATAAGGAAACCCAGCTGCTTTTGAGTAGGGCCATGACAGGAAACAGTCTAGTTTACAACCGGAATTTCATTCACTGCCTGACCTGCACACACCTTCAAATGGAAGGGAATTAGTAACAAGTGATTGAGGAGAGCTAGGAAGCAATAACTTGGAGCTGTTTAACACCAGACAGTTGTTTGCTTACCTTTATGTGCTGAGATCTCTGTGCAGCATCAATTGGATGCAAGACCTGCAGGCCACACATATCACACACATCCCCATGGATATACACGCAGTTTTCTCCATAACGACATTCTCCTAATGCAGCGTAGGGGCACAGCTCCTTCTTTATCTCCACGTCTGCTTGCTGCTTTTCATATTCTTCCTCAATCACCATCTCCTGCAAGGGTGCTTCAGCACAGAAAGGGGCAGCTGGGAACAGAATGAAAGACAGTAAGCAATACATTTGGATTTAGAGCACCAGGAGTAAGAACATTCAAGTTACCCAAAGAGAATAATAAAAACAACCAAGGTTCATTTCAGTCCAAGTTTCATGCACCCTCAATCTGAACTAACAGTTATTTTTCCCACTCCGGAAATTTCAAGACCAATTTCTTCATCCTTCAACCCAAGCAAGACTAAAGCTATCAAGGCTTCAGTGGTCAGGGTAGATCCATTTACAGGCTAAGTCCACACTAGAAAACTCTGAGTAGTCCTCAGCTTCTTAAATACATTGCTATACATATTCTGGTTCAGCAACAATTAAATAAGGCTACAAATCTCTCTGTTTTTAGAATCAATTTCACTTCAGCTAAATTTTTCACATCAGCTAAAGCTAACAGTTTTTGTCCCCAGAAATTACACAGTTAATGAAGGGAGTAATAAGGGTGTATCCAGCATAATAAAATGCTAGTATGGGAACACCACATCAGCAGTTCCTTATGTGCAGGTTAATTAGCACGTTGCTGTTCAGCATGAACAAACTTTCACTTCTAGACTCCCATGCATCTCTAGGAATTACACAGAAGTGGTTTTCACGCCTCTCAAACTAACTCAGTTCTATATATTTGCCAAAAACCCTATCCTAAACAGATACTGTCTATCACCCAGACAGATGAACCTAAGAAACTGAAGTTCAGGCTATTTTCACTGCATTCTAAGCTGGCCATCAGTTTTGCAAAACCCTAAGTGAATTCCTGTACCTAATTCTAAATTGAATTGAAATCTGTATCATTTCTCTTCCCCATTTAGACAGCTGCTGCTTAACACTTCTCCCTGCACCTCCTGAACACACCCTTGTCTGGATCACCACAAGTCAAACAGGCCTTTTGAGATCATTACATAAGCAGGATGATCACTAAGTTACAAGACAAAAGCAGTCAGTGTGAAATTGAGGATGTAATAAACATAAAGCATTATTATATTCAGAAAAAAACCCAGTAAGAATAGCAGCTGGACTTCATTTACATAACCAGCTGTTACAAGAGTAACAAGTTATCCATGCTGTAAGAAAGCATAACTTTTAGAAGCTGTTCAAGCACTAGATTTGGAGAAGTTAGCAGAAACTACTAAAAGCATACTTGGATCAGCTAAAGTGAAGGACAAACTCCTTTTCAAAATGAATCAGAGGCTGCACAATAGCATAGTTTTCAACCCCATGGAGCAAAGAGATATAATAGGCATGTATCAGTCTGTTAGTTTGGGGACACAGATAAAGAAAAAGCAGGTCCCTGAGACCTCAGTTTTAGGGGATCAAGCAAATATTGAAGATTAGTGTAGGAAAAAATTAGCTCTCAAAATAAGATCAAGTCTGCTTCTAGAGCCATGTCTGACTGTAGCGGTCACTCACACTGATCTTGGACCAGTGTGTTTGTTAGAAATGTGTTTCAAAAGCAGGTGTGTAATAGAATAATAAGTCACCTGCCAACCTGCTCACTTTTCAGTCAGAGATTCTCAACCAAAGCATGTTCATTACCTCTTCTTCCCCATGAGTTCTAGTGACCTAGCACCAAGAAAAGTAACAAGAAACCACATACTAGGCTCTACCTACTCTTCTGAGTAGCTCAGCATAATATGAAAATAGGTACTTACTTCCTGAAATCCCACTTGCCCTCCCCCATTTGAAATCCATGGTCTTCACTTCCAAAAGAAGTAACAAAAATCACAACTACCATTCAGAATTTATTCCCTCAACTGTTGTATTTGCCAGTGTTTGTTTTAGTTAATGTTGTTACAGATTTTTTACCTAGTTGAGGGCCATGAAGATGATTAGAGGGATCAAACACCTCTCCTATGAGGAAAGGCTCAGAGAGTTGGGGTTGTTCAGCCTGGAGAAGAGAAGGCTCCGGGGTGACCTTATTGCGGCCTTCCAGTACCTGAAGGGGGCCTACAAGAAAGATGAAGAGGGACTTTTTACAAGGGCATGTAGTGATAAGACAAGGGGTAATGCTTTCAAACTGAAATTCAACCTGAAAGAAGGTGGTTTTAGATTAGAAATAGGAAGAAATTCTTTACTGTAAGGCTGGAACAGCATGCATATTTTCTGTATCAACTACAGTTTTGCTTCCTCTTCGAAAGCAAAATTAGAGACACTCAGAAGACTCCGCTGCCTCTGGAGTTACAAATCCAACATCACTCAGAGTAATATTCGCTCTCTATGATTCTGTCTGCTGTTTCCCAAACCACTGCTCTCCAGTAGGTGGACTCAATCCCCACCTTCTCATGGCCCATTTCCCAGTCAACAGGGTTAAATTCATGCTAGTGGAAAAACTGGTTTGTTACCTTCAATCCACACACCACCTGCTTCCACTCTGGGACACACTTTGTAGCATCAAATACATTCATCTTGTAGTATGAGCCACCTAATTCAATGTTTCTTGTATTTCTGCCTTTCTACTCTTCCTCAATACTCCAGAACATGTAGCAGCAGTAGCTGCAGAACAAATATGGAAATGTGGCACATTTGTACAACAAACAAGCAAATAGCCAAAAAATCATTGCTGGTACTGAAGTCAACTTCAAGATACCAGGTTTAGTCTCAAACCAGAGATTCATAGTAGAAGATAAGCATTATAGCCCAAGCTATGCATGGTTAAACTGCCACCCCTGAATCTTCATCATTTGTAAGACAAAACACACAGGCTTCTGGCTAACCTTGGCAAATAAGTTCCATTTTAAAGTTACCAAGCATCTGTACATTTCTCCAGACATTTGACAAGAATAATCTGTAAGGCTTTACACTGTAGGACATACTGCATACCTCTACCTGATCACTACAGCAAGGTTCTTCATTTCTGTAGCTTAATAAAGACAGTGGCTTCAGAGCAGTAAAGCTTTTTTAAACACAGCTTTTAAGAAGTCACCATGGGAATTAGCATCACGGCACTGTTCAGAACAGAAATGGCTGAGTATGTTTGTACATTAAAATACATCAAATTTGAAAGGATATAAAACAGAACTTGCAACAAGATTCAGAGAAGAGAATGTTATTTAACTTAATCTGGCACAAGTTTCCATGAAGAATGAGCCTAACCCCTAGAAAAAGAAACTCTTTCAGTTAAACTAAGTTGATGGTATAGTGAAATACTCATACACTTCAGGAATTCCAGAGAAAACACCAGCTCTTCTTTAAGGAGTAGGTGTATTTAAAAGATCTCTGGCTGTTCGAACTCGCAATCAATTGATTCCAGTGGAGGGCCACCCAGCCATTAACAAGGCTGAAGCCCAAGAAGAGAGACTGACTCTTGTCAGATGTGCACAGGACAAGCGACAGAAGGCAAGCTGAGGCAGAGGAAAATCCAATTACACACCAGGAAAGAGGTTTTCCCTGTGAAAGAAGTCAAACACTGCAAAGGATACCCAGAGCTTATGGCACTTTGAACATCTCCAAGGATAGAGATTCAACTAAACAAAGCCCCTGGCAACCTTGGAGCAGGAAATGAACCAGATGAAATCCAGAGGTTCTTTCCAACCTAAACTATTCTGTGCTGGTTGAAAAAGTATAAAAAAAAAGAGAGATCCTTTGTCTCAACAAGCACAGAAGCTGTATCTTTTTTGACTGTAAGGTGACACACTAACAGGTAGCAGTCAAGTTTTTCTTCCTTTGGGATATGCTGAAGTCACACATTCATCAAACAACTCCATAATCAAACATCTCAACAACACTAGCAAACTGGTTGTGTCACTTGGTCATTCCTTTCCTCTTCACCCTCCTCAAATCAGATCACAGCAGGCTGTAAGCAGCACCCTGGAACACTGAGAAGGTAATTCTCTTTTCAGATCTGATAATCTGAGTACTGCTGTGGAGACAAAGTAGTATATAATTTGAGCACTGTATAGCAACTTTGAATTCTTCTGGACACAAGGTGTCCATTTTGAATTCACACAGTAATTTAAGTACTCAGGGCCTTCAGTATTAGAGAGTCAAACAAATGATTTTTAAGTAAACATCTTCAGCCTGCTTTTCACTTAAAATTTAAGACTTTGTACTACCTTTCTGCAGGGAAAGCAGATGACATTATGCTACTCAAACTGTCTGGTCCCATATGATGAGCTTCTTCAGTCCCATTCTTGTCATGGTCTGTCACAGTAATAGCAAGTTCAGTCTCAGAAAAGTAACTAGAATAATTCATTTTCGGCCCCTGGCCTGAACTGCCATAGATGCATGAAAGCAAACATTAGGCTTCAATTCATTCCACAGGAATCTGTACCTCCACTGAAAAACCTTTAAAAGATTGCAAAACCACCCTGAAACAAGTCAACTGGCCCAAAACACATATGCAAACTAAACCTGACAGAAAGAGATCCCCCAAGTCATTCAGAGGCACAGTACAGCAAACACAGTCACACAGAGACTGTCAAAGTACACCCGGTTTCAGAACAACAGTAATAACTGATGCGGAACAGTCAGTCTGATTTCACGTTGGAAAACTCAAGTTCACTTGAAGGGATTAATAAATATGAACAGCTGTACCCAAAAGCATTAAGATGAATGCACTACATGTGCAATTATTTACAAACTGTTGACCCATGATGGAAATCCACTATCCCATGATCAGCTTACCACGTCCACAGTACGGCTGCCCAGGGACAAACTCCACAGCATTCACCCAGTCTTCAGCACCTACTCCTGCAGCTGCCAGATCCGTGTTTTCATCTTCTATCTCAGCAATAAATTCTTCAACTGTTTCAGGGAGCGGTGCGAAGTCTGAGGACACTGAGGGATAGATTTCTGCATCTGGATTCACATCTGCCACTTCTTCCTGTATTAGTGGCTTGGTATGTTCATACCTAAAAAGACAAACATCATCACGTCAACTTTTCATAGAAAATACTTTTGTAGAGCAGACCAATGTATTGGAAATAAACTGATGAAGATGTGAACATGCTGTTTGGAAGGAGGACCTAGAAATGGCTTGAAAGAGAAAGTCACTGATGACCCTTTATAGAGACATGCTTCCACTTGTGTAATCTGTCAGGACTGTTTAAGGAAACGGAAGGTACTCATGATTTTAGAGAAAATGGAGCAGCATAACACAATTTTTACTTAACTTACACAGAATGAACTTCAATTATGTCTACAACTGGTCAGATACATACTGTGCATATGCAGTACTGCTGAATGAGAAAAACTAGTTCGTTCAGCTTTACTTCAGAGAACCCCACTAACATAAATCATTCTTTTCCTGTGTCTGAGCATCTTGCGCCATTCAGATTTTACACTGAATTTTAGTACTTATTTCTAATGCCTCTTTCAACTCACTGTGGAAAATGATGCTCAGAACACTTTGATCCCTACCACCCACGAACAGGAAAGCACCGTTTCCCTCAAAAATCTGTCTTCTAGCAACTAGTAGACTACACGGGGAAAATAAATTACAAGTGTACCTTTGAAGTCTTAGATATTTGCTGCCTAATTTCAAGGACAAGAGAAGGGAATTTTTTGAGATCATACAAAAGTTTTAAGTGACTGTGATTAATTTACCTTTTGTCAGATTGAAAACACCAAAGCGTGACAGTTCTTGCACATTAAAGAGATGCTCCCAACCAAATGTCAGCTTTGAAATCCTAATCCTATGAAGCCCAAATTTAAAAGTCAAGCCTTCAGTCCTCTACATCAGTGGCCTCCAAAGTGCATGCACCCTATGAGGTGTGCAAGACAAACCACTGGGGTGCAAGAAGAGGATAATAGAACTTTTTGTAATTTTTCCCCCCCTTAAAAAATAAAGTATCAATATTTAACATACAGGTTGACAGCAGTGTCCTCACTCAGCCCATATGTCAGAGGGTCCCACGTGTGGTATGTATGAGGTGCCCTGCAGGAGGAGCAGGTGTTCCACCACCCAGTGGGGCTGAGAGTGGCACCCCCCCATTCACTCACTTTCAGCATATTGCAACACATTGCAGTTTGCTTATGCCCACTTCAATGGATTGACAGATATTATTTTGTTTTACCCAAACTAACCCTGACAAAGAGAACAAGTGCCTTGAAAAGATTCCCGCAACTGTGTACTGACGACAGTTCTGATAATGTGAGCAAAAGCAAACAAGAAAATGTCAGAGCTAGCACTTCTACTCCTACTACTGCAAGCTCTTCATCAGTCACTCTACAAAGTAAAAAAAAATGCCAGCCTATTCAGCTCTGACAAGAACTTGGGGGGGAGGGGGAGCACAAAATAAATCAAGATTACCAAGAAGTCAATTTGAAACAAGGATTTACATCCACTATCATTAACAAAGAACCTTGCCCTCAGTGTATACTGTACCTTGAGATATTAGCTAATGATAGCACGAAGCCATCTCAGTTAGCAAGACACTGAAAATCTGAACATCCAGAACATGAAGACAAACCTCTAAAATTTTTTCCCACGATGTTTCAAGTCATACCATACTCAACCCAGTGCTTTAGAGAACTTCTCATGGAAGTGTTTAAAAGCCTCTTCTGAGGCTTGTTACATAACAATGAAAAACAAAAAGCCACATACCACTGGACCACTTGTTCTTCCTACTGTGGTAAAAATGACTGAAACTACACATGGAAAACAATATGGTGACAAAGTAAAACACGTTCCTTTGTCAGCAAATACTGTTGGGAAACACACAGAAAACACTGCTAGAGATCTGAAGAAACAAGTACTAGAACTAGTGTGAGGAGTTTGTTGTACAGAAAGAAAGTACAGATGTTTCTCACATGTCTCAGCTTATACGTGCTAGATTCTGTTTCAATAATAAAATACAAGAAGAACTACTTTTTGTGAGACACCAAAGAAAAGATGTTTCTCTTCTGGTACATTTTCAACAATAAATGACTACTTTAATAAAAATAATGCTTTATGGGAAAACTGTGCAAGTGAAATCACTGAAGGAGCAGCTGCTCTGACCAGAATAAACGATTCCAGGGTAAGGTTACAGAGATAACACCACACCAGAAATTCATTCACTGCCTCATTCATAGGTAAGATATTGTAGCAAAGATGGATCCAGAAGCACCCAAGAAAGAATGCCATCAATATAGTCAATTTTGTAAAAACAAGACCTTTAAATAGTCAAACGTTTACAACACTTAGTTAAGAGTTGGAAAGCCACCATAAAAATCTTTTCTACCACACAGATGTTTGCTGATTATCTCACGGTAAAGCAGTTAAAAATTGATGACTCAAGGATGAGTTATGTATGTTTACTTCACAAAGAAAAGTGGTCCAAATTTCTGACCTTTTCCATGATGACAAGTCGCTATTAGTAGTAAGCTACTGAGCAGATACTAAAAAAAAAACAAAAACAAAACCAAACACACTCAAAGTGCCCCTTCAAGGCAAAGACATTCTAAGAACAGGTAACTGCTCTTTAAAAGAAACTTGTGATATGCAGACAACATTTTGAAAATGAAATATTTCCATCATTATGCAATTTTATTGGCAAAAACTATGCAAGTGTGTCATCTCCAAAAAAACCTTCCATATCTTGTACACTTAAAGCTTGGAAACAATTCTCTAACATGTTTAAAAATCTTCCAAACTCAGAGTTCCTGTGCATTTTGAACCCATTTGCTAAAAATATAACAATGCAACACCTTTCAGTTAATCTGTAAGAACAGCTGATTGACATCAGGGAAAATGGAAATTTACCAGCTAAATTTATCACACATTAGTAAGTGCAGCCAACAATACACTTCCTTTGGGATCCGCATATCTTTGTGAAAGATCTTTTTCAGTTCTGACAGCCATTAAAACCAAGGACTGAAAAAAAAATGAACTTCAAATGGGACCTTCAAATAACTATTACAAAGTGTTAAACTGAGATTTTAGAAAACAATGAATCCCACTGAATCAACATTACTGTCAGTAAAAAAATATTATTACTAATAAGGCTTTTAGTGACAGCAACAATAGTTTTGGACTGTTTATAAAATTTTTATTAAATATTGTTTATTCCACCTTTAATACATCCTTTCTTAAATTCTGATTTGTGTGTATGTTTTCTAATGTACATAACATTAGCACAACAGCTAATACATATAAACTATAAATAAATATGTATGTTGGTGGGAGCTCAGAACTTTTTCACTGATGGAGGCATGATCCAAAGTTTGGAGACCATGATGCACACGATCAAGAAAGCAACACTGGCACACAGAAGCCTACAGGGTTGCTTTTTTTGTTCTCTTTCTTATACATACATGAAAGCAAAGCTAACTATGAACTACCATATTAAATCATGATGCAAATATTTCGTCATTCATTAGAACTGCAATAAGACAGAATGTTAAAACTTCTGATAAACTTTAGTAAAATCAATGTATGATGAAACAAACACCCCAGGCCTTTGTAAAGCTTTGCTCCACGAGGACAGTATCAGTTTCCTTTCTTCACAGTTTATTTTTTTAAATAATTTCAGGGGTATAGTTTAATTCATACTATGTTTTCATAATGTACAACTATTCTGTACAGGCAGCATTTTAGTACTTATATGACAAACTCCAATTACTTTTCCAAAGTGACAGTTCAAGTGTCAGAGTACCAATTCCTCAAGAGATACACAATACCAGGAAAAAAAAAATCCTTACTTGTTCAGCTTTTATTGTCACTTAATAAACGTAACTGAGTTTTATCCACTCAACTAGTCTGAATGTAGTCTCAGATTCCAACTAATCTACTCACATTATTAATAAACAAATAAGTAAACCCCACACCTTGACAACTATTACTTTTACAAAAACATGGTCTCACCTTTGCTCATTTATTTGCATAGCAAAGCAAACACTGCTACTTAGCAAGAGAACAGAGTATGTGAAAAGCTATTTTTATAAATTTCTGAACTTGCAATGATAAAAAAAGGAGAACACTAAGATTCACTGCCGTTTTGTGAGCTCTCTGCTCAGGGATTCAGAGTGAAATGACTGCTGCAGGAGGGTCAAGAGCATTTCCTTACCTGCAATGATCTCCATAAGCGCAGCATCCTCGCTGGTAATACCTGCACACCATGGCAGACTGACTCGTGGAGAGGTCATGGGAGTAGCGGCAGTTGTCTCCTTCCTTGCAAACTCCATGCATGAAGTATCTGCAAGACAAAAGGTTACTGTGAATTAAGGAGAAGCACTGCAGTTGCAAACAAAGTATTTGAATGATTTTGTTATTCTGTAAATCAAGGTATGCTGAATTAAGAACAGCACTAAAGACTCATGGGACCCTGCTCCAGTATAAACATAAAAATAAGAACACCTGAGTAAAGAGGAAGCCTCAGCTATTCCACTGAATTGCAAAGCACATTTAGGGACCTGCCCTTATAAAAGCCTGAAAAAAACCTGTAAAGCAAACAGTTATCCTGGGCCATGACACAGAGGAAAGAGTCTTGGACAAAGTTTTTACTTGTAGTTCCTGTGTTCTGATACAAGCAAAAACCTTAGAGAAGTCCACCACCAAATCAAAGAATCAAAACCAGACACACCCTAAACAAAATGCCTGAGGGTTTAAATCTATTCTGAATTCATAAACAATTCAATCAAAAGTGAATTTCCTCTCCAAGAATGCAAATCATGTTTGTGATGGATAATTACATCTGACAAAACATACACATTGATTCCTGCAACAGGAGCCAAATAATCAGTTGAAGCACCCTGCTTCAATACTGTGCTGCCTGTCTTGAAAGATTTGGATAGTTTCAAAGCTTCTGAAGACAGTTTGCTACATTTTAGCATGTCCAGTAGCACAAGCTTAATCTTCAATTCACCTCTTCAAGAAAACTGAACAGTCGTTTTCAATTTTATTTTTTTTAATTTTAACCTAGAAGACACAAGTTTCTTGAAACAAAAGGCACTGTAACTGTTCAGATTCAGTATGTTCACATCAAAACTACAACTGAAAATACAAGTTCAAGTACATCCTTCCCAATCCACATAAAAGTATTAGCCAAGAAAAAAAAAGTAAAAAAATTGAAAAAAAAAAAAGTCAAAACCTATGTTAGAGGTAATTATGTTTACCAACACTTCAGTTGAGAAAGAAGCAGTATTGGTCCCCAGACACCAACTAAGTTGCAAACTCTGAACTCATTGGAAATACGAAGACCTCGTAAACAAGAAAATTTGTGAGGATTTAGGTTACATACAAAACACCACTTGAAGAAAGACTGAGAAGCAGATTATGCCCTTCTAAACCCATACTGCTGCTGAATGGGGCAGTCCTGCCCTCCTCCTATTGCACTTCCACCATTTTGCACAGCCAGCAGAACCAGGTCTTCAACCAGCTGACTGCACCGCCACACAGCCAGCACAGGAGACAGGGATCATCTTTCAGCATGGGAAAGGTGACAAGTTGTTGAACTGCAAAAGCATTTCTGCACAACTATTTAGTCCAATATATTTTTAGGAAGTCAGATAAGTCCAAGTGAATAATTGACCAAATGACATTTGCAATCAAGTATTAGGGAAGATATTAAAACCTGAGGTTGAGTTTTAAGAGATGCACAATACCAGTGTGTATTCAACGTACTAAGACTAAAAAAAATCTGAACTGGTTTTACAGACCACCAGCTGACACTTGCCATCAGGCTGCAATTCACCCTTAAAATCCCCTGCCTGCACACTGTAGTCACGTATTTATTAGGTAAGAAATGTGGCCCTGCATAAAAAATAAGCAGTCCAAGACCAAGATGAAGCTCTGCACGGTCAGGTGGCAGCACAAACTGCCAGCACACACCAGGAATAGGGTGTTGCAAAAACAGAACAATACCCAGCCTTGCACTCTCCACTGTGAACAAAAAACACACAACATCCCCCACCAACCACCAAAACCCCCACCACCCACCCACACACCAAGAAAATACCATAACCTGCTCACAAAATCACTTCAAAAGAAAAAAAAAAAACAACCCAACTACCCATGAACTCACAGAACCAGAACATAACTGGAATTTCTGGCTTGCTTGCTTTTAAGAAATGGGAGTCACACCAACAGGGTAAAAAAAAAAATTCAGGTTGTTTAGTGTTTGTTCTTTAACAAGTGTTATCTCCACCCTTTGTTGATTTCCACACAGCATTGCTTCCCCCATGTGTTGGGGCAGCAACTTCATAGCCACCCGCTGACTCAGACCAGGAAATGGCTGCAGATGGAACGTGACATTCCTTTCGCTGCCCCCATGGTTATTTTTAATCTAGATCAGATCATTGCCCAGCCACACTGCTCCTTAAGCCAACAAAGTGTTGGGACAGCATTACAGATGAAATAAGTGACTAAGAGAAAGGCACCAATCTGAAGTGAGGACATCTGATAGAAACTACTTGGTCAACACGACTTATCCTAAGTACATAAGCCTCAAAATTAGACTCTCCCACTGCTTCTTAGACAGAGGAAATGGAGCTCCAAGTCTCTTTCTTTCTTTCCCAGTTTAGGTTAGGAAAGCCTCTGTAAATACAGACTCTATATAATTCTGAAAGTTGTGACAATTCGTTATAGAGAAACGGTAGGATATAAGGAAAAAGACCAAACGTAAAACACTCCCAAGTTCAATTTAATTCACACATCACTTTTTAAGGTCTTCAATCCTAAACAGCAAATTCAGCATCATTTGAACAAAAAGGATGGAGTGGGAGGGGAGAAAAATGTATTTCTCCAAGAATTACATTAACTTCCTCCACAATCCTCCCCCTCGCCAAGAGGTAAGATTTTTACTGCAAGGTCACAAAGAATTTAAGACTTTACATATCAAATTGCAGCATTTGGCTAAAACATGCTTTGGTCATGTCAAAAAATAAACAAAGTCCATTATTTTGGGGGAAAGGTAACAAAACTTATTTTGGAGAGCATCTTTATACACACAGATTATTCAATTTAACTCTACACAACAGCAATACCAGCCTCTTCATTCTTGTTATAGCAAAAAAGCATCCTTAAAACTGAGAGACAGATGAGTTATCTGCCTTACTCAGTGACATGTAGAAGGATATCTGAAACTTGCATTTGGTCAGGTAGTCAGAGAACACATGTAATTTCATCTGAAAAAGTAAAATTAGATCAAGACAAGTATATAACTGGATTTTCTCTGAGTCTCTGTGATGCTGTCATCCAAAAAGCAATTATTCTGGCAGCAGTGCTCTCTGCCTTTCCTATTCAAATACACAAGCATAACTTGGTTAAGCTGCATAGGGAACCTGACCACAGAACTCGTCAGAGTCCAAGCCCAGATCATCTCCCCCGTTCAGTTCACTGCGTGACTGTACAAAACACGAGTGACACCAACAAACAGAAGAATTTTCAACACGTGGCTAGTTACAAACGCCTTGATCAAAACAGCATATCCTTATATCAATATGCAATGCTTCTTTCTATAGCTTTTGAAGTTTGCAATGGGTTTCCTTATTCATATGGGGCTTGTTCTTTACTTCATGTTTCTGCTTTCAGGTAATGCTGGTTTGTTTATCAAACTACTGGTTTTGCTAAATTAGAATGTCACACCCAACAGCAAACATCGTTCAAACCCCAACCCATGGCCGTGCCTGGCAGACAGGGATCCTCAGATAACAGCCAACTGCAGCCATTAGCTTCTTCAAGTGCCATACAGAGACTGGGAATTCCCAGGGAAGAAGGGAGCAAGGAAGAGGCTAAGCATGCTGTTCTAGCGTAGCACGGGGCACTCAGCCATATTAGTGGCTGATGACATTCTACTTGAGTTAGTAAGCTTAAGAAAAAGGGAAAAAAAGTTGGTCTTAAAAGCTTAGCTCCTTGTCCCTTCTTCTCCATAACCTCCTTCAGCAACACGTTATCAGGGGATCCAGAACAGAGCATCAATGGAAGGAATAATACAGGCAGGTTTGTGCTCTCATCTTATCCCTGGTGCTGCACTGAACTAAGGCATTAATTGACTACTGCACATTCTTTATATGAAAAGACAGATAAATACCTGACCTAGGTTTTCAGAAAGAACAGCAAAGGTACAAACATGCAGACAGCTCTCAAAAGACACCAATTAGTTGCTAAGGGTTTTATTTACATTCAGTTATTAAACAAACAAGTGAAATGTAATCTATTTACATCAACTTGATGACTTTTAGCATGACATCTGGAAAACACAAGTATCTGGAGCAAACAGTGCCAAGACTATGGAAAATAGGTTTGCTATACCACTACTCCATAAAACCATGTATCCATCTCAACTGAAGGACTGAGAAACTTGGCAAGCATCACCATTCTTTTCCTTATTTCAAAGACAGCAATAAGAAAAAGATCAGAATATTAAACTAGTTCTGAATAGTTCTACTATTTATTCCAGATTAAAAATATTATAAACTATTACAAGCACAAGAGCCTTGAAAACAGCTAAATCACACAAGTAATATTAGAAAACTATTTTTCATCATCTCTTAGGGAATGTGATGATTTCCTATATTTCACTGTGAGACTTCTAAACTTTAGGTGCAAGAAAAGCAGAAGGGTAACATCAACACAACTGTACGTCTAGGAGAAATCGAAGTCCTTCATCTTAGTCACTGTGTCTCCCACTCTGAGATATTAATCATCCATCCCAAGGATATCACACTGGCACATTAAAACTCATTAGCCAACCTATTTATCATATCAGGTATTCAAAGGAACAGCAAGCACTTATGCTACTAATTTTAAACCTCCCAGTTCCAAGGGAACAGCGGTATTCCTTTAGCAGCCATGAAGTGCTAACTCATTTATACTGAAGGGACCACTGTCTCCCAGAAGTTTTTCAGGCAGCATTTACTGTCACCCTTACGATGGTTCAAGTAAAAAAGCCTGTGAACAAACAGAATTGTGCAGTGTTACTCAGACAGAAACTGCTGTACCTCCCACACTAAAAATGTGCATTTTGAAACTTAACCCCTTCATATTACTGTTAAATCCTCAAGCTCATTTATAAAAGTAAAACAAGATTTAATAATAAGAAACATATCTTCTTGAATATGAATACATCCTACTGAAACAAAACTTAGAAACCCAAAATTCTTATCACACATTCCCAGAAGGCCAAGTCAAAATTGTTAATTTCACTTTAAAGTCTGAGGAAAGCTATTCTGCCTACAACTGGAACAGCCCTGTAAAAATTAATAAAGCAGGCAATGAGATAACGAGCAGGATTAGTCAAAGAGAACAAAGAATGGAGATGTTCATCAGATCGTAGGCCAAGATCTCATTGTTTAAGTTCACATTAAAGCACATTAACCATTACAACAGAGTAGCTTTAGCTTCCTGCTAGTCCAGAGTGTTTGTAACTAAATATATTCCCTAGACAGACTGACTGCACTGCAGGACCCTGATGAACTTTACTGCTTCTGTACTATGGCAGTCACTGTCTTCAATAAATCGATCCTGCATCTATACCTGTCTATAGCCGTCCCACAAATCCAATTTGGCTAATTCAGCCTTTCAATCTCCAGAAATTACGAGGCAATCTATAGAGAAGGAGCACTGACCTTGCCTCGCTCGTAAAGCTGAGCTAAGCACGGGCCCCGGCCACTTCCTACTCACCGGCCTACGCTTAAGCGCCCGGCATCAAACATTAACCCGGGGGCTCGCCGGAGGAGCCCTCTGCAGGAGCGCTCCGAGAGCGCTGACAGACGGTGCTTCCCAAAGGGAACCAGTTAGTAGGGCATTAGCCAAAATAAATGTCGAACAGGGACGTCTTAAACAGGGCACACTGAGCAGCACAGTGAAGGGACACAGCAAGAAAGCTCCTGCCAAAGCCAAGCAGCGGCTCTTCATGCTGCTGCTGCTGCAACCTGCAATCGGCACAAATGTAAAAAGAAAATGCAAGACAGATAAAGAGCTGAAGCAAGATCTGGAGCCTCTTCCTTTCTGCCCAAGAGATGTTCCTTTTTACTTCCAAGTGACTCGGAATGTACTTGCTCAGAAACTTATTCGGGTTTAAAGTAATTTAAAGTTATTATTTTTATTTTTCTTTATTTAAAAATAAAATTGAAAAAAAGTCAGGACATACTCCTCGATGTTAATCTTGGATTACCATTTGCTTTCATACAAACTAATATGTCTGCATTCACAAAACTGTTTTAAATTCCTTTCTGCCTGCCAACAGACCAGCAGTGGAGGTTTAAAAATAGTCCATCTGGCAAGCTTTAAAACACGCAGCACGGCTTGCATAACCCCATACAGAAGATTTATCAGAAATACGGTTTAAGGGAAAACGCCGATAGGAAATGACGCAGCACCTCGGTGTGACATGGGCAGCAGCGCTTCTCGCCTCCTGCAGCCTGCCCTGACTTAATCCTGCTCTCCTCTTTAATAACTAATTGTCGCTGCATCAATCGGGAATTCGTCTCCAATTTTAAATGTGGACTGAAACGCACAAGCGCTCGAATTACTTCGCATTTCCTGCTCTGTCGCGCTTTGCGGGACGCGGCCGCAGCACTTCCTTCCCTTTCCTTTCCGGCCGCCCTTCGCGCCGGGCACTGCGGGGCCTTTCGCACACAATGAACAGCAGCCCGCGGCCCCTCGCAAGGCGCCGGCAGCGCCTCCAAACCGCCCCGGGCGCGGCGCGGCCCCGAAAACAAACCCTATTCCGCGGGTCGGGGCCAGGACCGCACCGCCCCCACCGGCGGGCCCGGAGCCGCGGCCGCGCCGCCTCCCGCGGGAGCCCCGCCCGGAGCCGATGGCGGGTCCGGTCGGTGCCG